TCAAAAAGATAAGGTTTTTAGCCTCACAAGCTTACAGTCTAAAAGAAGAACGTTATTCAGTTATTCAAAAGATTTGTGCTGAGAACCATAAGGAACATAAATGTAGTCTAAGAGATTAAAGGACAGCTAAGAGAGGTGGTGGAGTCCACTGAGACTTCTCCGAGGCAGTGACTCTGACTCTGCGGTCTCACATCCCAGTGAGCAAACAGGCAAAAATGAAGGCGTGGAGTCCCCAGAGAAGGCAGGCTCCCAGCTGGGCTCTGAGTGTACAACCTTAGGAAAACTGAAGGCTCCCCAATCCTTCAGGGAAGGGATGTTGTGAGCAGAGAGGGTGGTGGCACGGTGTAAACCAAAGCCTCACGTGGGCACAGGTCATATGCAGAGGGTATGGAAGTCTTGGGCCTCTGGGTCCTTGTGCCACCTGTGAGCACCATGTCTTCTCTTACTTTTGACTGTCTCTTTTACCCAAGTGCTCAGCCATCAACTTAACCCAAATGCACACCCAAGTCCCACTGTGCTCACTCACTCACTCATGCACCACCGGTGTTGCTGACTCCATACCTCGCTTCCCTTGTCTCAGTCTTCTCCACATGGGTGCTCCATGGGTTCCTAAAGCTTTGCTTGCTCAGAACCAACCTCTGCTTTCACACTGAGCCCTGCCTTGTGGTGGCTTAGGTCACACTTTTTGTGTGCTACTATAAAGTGAGCTCCTGACGGTAGGATTTATATCCCATGTTCCTTGGTGATATCCAATTCTTAAGAGAGCCAAAGAATCTGCAACACACAGGTGTTCTGTTTCTGCCCTTCCTGTCTTGCTGTGCTATGGCTTAACTTTCTCTCTTGTGTGCTATCCTCTGATCTTTTTAGGATGGACAAGAAGAATGCAGGAATGGATGAACACCTTATAATTTTAACAAATGCAAATGTCTTATCAATCTCACCATTTCATCCAGTTCGCTACTTATTTTCCCATCTACTGGCAGCCTGCCATCGTTCTGGGAGGTTGAAACCTTGGAATACCATTATCTCCTGACATCTGTCTTCTTTTTATTCTAATGAGCTGTAGGGTCCTGCTGCGCCCTTACCCAACTCTTCTCTATGCTCCTGCTACCACCCCAGCGCAGGCTCGCTGCCTCTTAAGAAACTGCTACGACAGATATCCCATCTTGGCTCCCCACACCAATCCACATTACATCTATTGCTGCCACAAAAGGTTCCCAAATCCCAACCCATCCTGCCAATCCCTGGCCCAACAAATGGAGCCTCTCTCACTGCTCACTGGGCACCTTCTTCCCCTTCCTGTTACTCCTCAAACAGGACGACACACTTTTATTCACTGTCTTGTGTTCTCCATCTGTCACTTCTACCTGGGGTACTTGTCTTCCTTCCATACACTTTAAGATTCATCATACACACCAGGTCCTTCACGAAACAGGTCCTGATTTTGATACCCAACAGACATGAAAATCTGCAGCATTTTTCTTTCTTTTTTTCCCTTTCTTTCATTCTTTTTTGGTGTATGTGTGCTACAGGGCTCATACCTGCTAGGCAAGCATTCTACCACTTGAGTTATACCTCAATCCTTGTTTTTTAAGTTTGTTTTTCTGATAGGGTCTTCTGATAACTTTGCCTGGGGGATTCTCCTATCTCTACCTTCCAAGTAGCTAGGATTACAGGTATGCACCTCCATACCTTATTATGTTATATTTATAGTCACTTGGTACCTACCTTTTCTACTACAACACAAACACCTTAAAATGAAGGTCAGTTGTTTCCCTATTTCTGTTTCTCTGAATAATAGAGTGCATGGTATGCAAGGGGCAATCGATGAATATGTGCTGAATTGAACTGTGCTCTCTCAGCTGAACTGTAGGCTCCTTGAGAAAAGTGACTTTAAGTATCCTGTATCTCTCAATGCATACTAAGTGCTTTGTACGTAAAAGATGCTCAAAATACACTTCTTAAAATATTTTTGTGGACTCAGAGCAGTTTTTTAAATTACATGTAACACTGGCAGTAATCCAAAGTATTCATTTAGAAATCTCTCACCAACTAAGACAAAGGAAAAACCTCCAGCAGACTTTGCTCTTCCCTTTGTCTTACCCGATCATACCCACCTCTCCCAGGTGCTTGCCAGGTATGAGGCACAGTACTCAAAGTGCCTTCCTCTCCCAGGTGCTTGCCAGGTACTAGGCATAGTACTTAAAAGTGCCTTCCTCTCCCAGATGCTTGCCAGGCACAAGGCACAGTACTCAAAGTCCTCCCCATCACCACCTGAGCCTCACAGCACTACTGCGTTTTCCTCATCAGATGGGAGGGAGCTGGAGAAGTAGACTGTCTCTACAGTCAGCAAGGGGCAGAGCTGAGATCTGAATTGAAGCAGCTTCTGCCTCCAAAGTCTTCCCAGCACACCCTACAGTGGCCTTAGTCTGTTTGCTGAGCTCCTTAATTTAAACAGTTTGAGTAAAAACAAATCTTTTTTAAAAATACTGACTTACATCTTGAAAATCACTCTTTAGAACATTAGAACTTCTTGACTCTTAAATTATTTTAAAGGCTGCGAAAAGCAAAGTTAAGTCTATTTCACCCACCTTCCAATATAAGACAGGCGACTACTCACTTTTTTCAAACAACATGCATGATCAGTGCTCAATAGAGTGGGTACCTCAGACAAGTGCAAAGAATTTTTAATTCTAGAAAGCAGTATGGTAATTCCAGAATCAAATATCACCATTTACTCCCCATTCTTAATCAAACTTTACACACTTGGAAACTCCTGTTGGGAGCCTGGACTCTAGTTGGCTAGCAGAGTAAAGGAGTGAGAAATGTTACAGATAATATTGAAATAAGTCAGAGTGACCAGAGTTTCTCTCTTCAAGACTCCATTCAGTCTGCACAGAAAAGCACTACTACTAATTCTGACCACAGTGCTGACAAAGAATACACCAACTCAGAGATGACAGACAGCAAAACTGAAAGAGAAGGGAAAAGGTTGTACTGTCCTTAAATAGGACAGGGGCACACTGAGGCAAAACTCATCGGCTTTAAGATGAGAGGTGTTGCTTCTTGTAGGATTCCTGAGATCCAACAGTGTGGGCAGATGCTGTCAGACTGCTCAACACTACCTCTCCAGCTTCTAACAGAAATGTTATTACCTGTAACCCTAGCTACTCAGTAGGCAGACATCAGGAAGACTGCAGTTTAAAGCCAGCCTGGGCAAACAGTTTGTGAGATTCCATTTCGGGGGGAAAAAAAAAACCATCACAAAAAGTAGGGCTGGTGGAGTGGCTCAAGATGTAGGCCCTGAGTTCAAACCCCAGTACCACAAAAAAAAAAAAAAAAAAAAAAGAAAAGAAATGTTATTGTTGAAGATGATGGTATTTAAAACTCAAGTCAAAACTATACCAAGCAAGGAAAAAGTCAGACAGTTCACTTACTTAGGTCCTCAATTTATCCATTCAAATTTTAAAAAATTCATACAATAAGTCTGATTAACTTTTACTTTTTAGTCAGAGATATATTTTCCTGGACTTAAGAATTGTTGTTCAAAATTAGAAATAAGGGCAAAATAGTTTCTGCTGGGTATTGAGGGGGTGGGGGGAGAGGGAGGGGGCAGAGTGGGTGGTAAGGGAGGGGGTGGGGGCAGGGAGGAGAAATGACCCAAGCCTTGTATGCACATATGAATAAAAAAAAAAAAAAAGAACTGTTGTTAACAATATACCATCACTGAGGGCTGGTGGTGTGGCTCAGTAGCAGAGTGTCTGCCCAGCAATCGTGAAGCCCTGAGTTCAAACCCCAGTACCAATATATACATCATCAGAGTAGGTACAATGAATGTCTGTCATTTCGTCATACTTTAACTCCAGAGCCCATTTATGAAACATTTCATCATCTAGAATATTTTCACTATTATTGGTTGTGGTGGGGATCGAATCCAGCGTTTTGCACATGGTGAGCCAGAGCTCTACCACTCAGCTACATACCCCGCCCTTTATTTTCATTCTTTTAAAATGGCCTAAAATGTTCACTTATTGATGTTTAGTATTTCAGTCCATGAAATCCTATATTCAGAAGAGAATAAAGCAAAAAAAAAAAATTGCCTCTGATATTCACTAGTGTGTCCTGGAAAATGACAGCCTCAGTACTCATGAGCACTACTTAATATTCTGCCAGCCCCTCCACTGTAGCAGAAATCATGAAAATAAAAGTGAAGCAAATAACAGCAAAAGGAGTGTAAGTGAAGTGAAAATAATTTGGATAAAAAATACATTCTTAAAAATACATCCACTCAATCATGAAAGAAAGCAAATAATCCAAATATACAATGCATACAAAATAAGAGCAAAATTACTTTGTACCAAAACCACTAGTAAAAACACATTCTTAACAATTTTAACTTCCTGAAGGAAATCAACTAATATGATAATTAGCTAAACCTTTTTATAGAGGTGTAATATAATGTCAGAATGTGTATACCACATCGTATTGAGGGCAAAGGATTCTATTTCGTACCATTACCCTTCTCCCACTGTCTCAAAACCCGCAATTCCTTTAACACTGTGGTTGTACGGTATGGACCCTCAGAAGTGCATTATTTGTCCTTGAAAGGTAACTTGTGTAACATTACATGTCCAGAACAATGAAACTTCACCATTTATCCTGACTGGATAAAAGTCAGAAGAGGGGAAGGAGGAAACGGTCTCCTCCCATAAATCTCAACTCTACATCATGCTTTTTTTCCCTTTAAATTTGGATCTCTGAAAACATTAGTCATTTTGCTGTATTTTCTCTGCAGCATTCCTTATCAAGATTTAAAAAGGGCTTATTCGGAGGCAAACAGGATACAGGAGGAATGGTGCAGCTTCCAGGCAGGCTATAAATAGCCTCAGCATTTTCAAGAAATCTTGTGCCAGTGTGTAAGCTGCAGCTTAAATATGCAGTGTGGATTTATTACAATGGTGCTACCCGAAGTCATGGTGAAAAGAAAATTCAGTTCTTACCAAGTTTTCTTGGTTCCTGGCTGCTATTTTCTGCTCCTCTTCTGCCCCGTTTTTCATGTACTTGACCTCTTCCACTGGTTTGATCCTATACTCATCTGAGTGCCAAAAAGAGAAAACACATCTATCATTTTTTCTGCAAAGAGAAGCCCAATAGCATAATGTGTTAGACCCTTTCCTCCCTGGTCCTTACAGGTGGCTCATCTGGAACAATCTGGAAAAACTTAACCAGGTGTTTTGTATCTGCTCTGAAGTGCTCTCCTCCGTCTACCAGAAGGGCTCAGCACTCCAAATGCAGCTGAGGAGTACAGAACCACTGCCTGGTCCTTCCACAGAGAGCGAGCATGGAGGGAAAATAGGTTACCCCATCTCTAAAGACCATTTGACATGCACTGGGACGCACCACATACAGCCTAAGACTGAGGAGAATGTCCTCATTCCCCCCCAAGAGAATATTAATCTAAAATGCCTTTAATGACATGTTCACTCCTTCATTTCTCTCTTTGGGAAAAACAAAGTACTGTTTATGACTAAGGAGTTGTACTGATTAACAGACACAAAGAATTGGAAATTGAAAGGTTTCTTTTTATGATCCTTATATTAAATCTGAGCAGTATGTAGTGGCTACATATGATCTATTTATTTATTAACCTATACCTTAATTGAGTCTCTCTGTAAGCTCACAGGCATGAAGAGCCATAATATCGACTAGATCTAATAGGGAGGCTTATCACTCAAGGCTGAAGAGCATGGAGGTCCATGGAAGGAACCTACACTTTGCAACAGCCAGAGAGGCATAAATCCCAATGTCAGTATCATCACTGGATGAACTCAGGAAGAAGGGCAGCTCAAACTCTTCTCCAGGATAGAAGTTTGGTGATGACAACGATGACATTTTCATCAGATTCCTGTCAACAGGAAATGACTTGGGCACACTAAGTTCAAAAACAGGTGTGACTTTTGAGTCATCTTTGGGTCCAATTTGTGGGAAAAAAAAATCACAGAAATTATGGCACTAAAAAATTTCATCAGCAAACTGATGACTGCCAAGCATATGGTAAGGAGTAATGCCTAACAATGAAAGACAGCTGTCTATCGCTAAAAGGGTTTGTATTTCAGTTTAAGAAGTTGGAATATATTTTTGTATTGCCTATGATTAATTAGGTGTAGTGACCGTATTCTTATATTTTAGTTTTTATAATACTACTTTTGAAGGTCATTTCAGGTTTACTCATACTACCTCTTAACATACTACCTCCAAAGATACTTGTTCTAGTAACATTTCTCCAAGTAATTATGCTGATCAAATGTTTCTCAAAATTATCATTCTTAAGAATATTCTTTGCACATATCTGGGTAAAGACTCCATGTTCATGAATAAGCCACTTGTTTTTTCCACCTTACAATTCAAGATATTGATTCTGCTTCTTTTTAAAAAAAGTTGAGAGTTTGATATGAAATTACAGTAATGAGGCCTAAAGGAATTGTAAGTCCTAAATGCATTAACAAGGTAATCAATGGATTCAGATTCATAATTACACCATAAGGGAATTTCACAGCTGGGTGTGGAGGTGCACGCCTGTAATCCAGCACTTGGGAGGCTGAGGAAGGAGAATCTTGAGTTCAAGAACAGCCAGGGCTACATAGTGAGTTTGATAGCCTGGACTACAAAGAACACATGTCTCAAAAAAGATAATTCACATTCTAATTTGGTATTCAGAAGAGAAAAAAATAATAGCAACACATTTCATTAAGAATTATTTACTCAGAAGTTGGAAAAACAATTGTTAGTTTAAAAGGAATAGATATAAATTATGCCTCCAATGTAACCACAGAGATAAAAATAAAGGCAAAAACATAAATATTAAAAATGAGCCTCCCAATTTCAGTTTGGGACATTAAGACTTATAAATCATGGCTTGCTGAGACAGTTGCTAATGTTTAACTGAACTTAATTGAGATCTTAGTTGATTCTGGTAAGTCTCCATGTAAATATTAATAGCAGGTAATTGCTATATATATGATATCTATGTCAAATATATATGACATATAAGTACAGATATAGCAATATCACAATTCTAGTAGGACGCGAACCCTCACATAAAGGATGAGAAAGAGCACACAACACTTTTGAACCTAAGCAGAAAGTTCTGAAAGATCCTCTGGCTCTCTGCACACTCCTCTGCACACTGCAGAGCTAATAGTCTCTCTGAGAAAGGACCATTCACCCTTCCCTTCCCACCGCTCTTTCCCATCTTTCTATGGTCCAAGGTAGACACATTGAAGAGCCTAACAGCCTTCATTTTCTTATCTTCCCAGGGACACAACTGAACTGAAAGTAGCAGACAAACTGTTAATTTTTTCTAATGTTTTTCTCCAATGAAATGAAAGAGCTCTTGATGACATGACTTTCAAAGTAGCATTATTCCAAGACACGAGCTTTTTCTTTCCTTTTTTTTTTCCCCATCAGGACAAAATCCCCAGTAATTTAAAAAGCAGATAGGTTTTAATGAGTCAGTAACAACCCCGGCTGGCTAGCCCTAGGGGGGTCAGAGGAACATAACAAGATTGTGTACAAAGAAAGAAGAAAGAAATAAACAGCGAAGATTACTTACACACATACCAAAATCTATCATGGTATGAAAGAAATAGATAAGCCACAATTTGGACCAAGCAGATACTTAAAAACAGGCTGTCAAATTTGTCAGAGGTTGGTGGTGGGAATGAAGATGTCCATCTGGAAAGAGACAACTCATCAACAAATGTGTCACACATTTCCATGGCGATACAGCCGTCGGGAACAGCCCTTGTTGACAGGCCTCTGGGTGGACGAATGTAGCATTTCGGGTATGACAGTGAGACAATCGCTACTGAAATTCAGATTTCCTTTTGTCAAAGGCACAGGGGAATTAATTTGGGACTTCAGGCCCCTTTTGTCAGAGCCTACACTGGAAGCAATGAGGACAGCCACCGCTACCAGCCAGAGGGTCCTGGCATCACATCAATGTGCCAACTTGATTAAGAGTGGGGAGAAAAGGACCAGCTTCCTCTGGCTCCCACACACCTGTTCACAATTTTTCTTTTCTTCCTATTGATCTTGTCAGGTGCCTTATTAAGATGCACGGTAGGAATAGTCGGCTGCTTCCCTGTTCCCTCCTTGTAAACAGTTGCAGGCTGTGCTAGTCAAAATAGATCTGGGGTAAAAGTGCTATCTTGGTGACATTTTTAGCATTTTATTCCTGAGATTATAACAGGGAGGGGACAGGTTTTTTGGTAATAGTCATTGATCAAAAGAAGCCTGGGTCCAAAGGTGTCAAAGCAGATCTGGATTTTTGCCAGTTGGAAAACAACTTTAAGATTCCCCCTCCCTTTTTTTTTGTAAATGTTTTTTATTGGTATATTATAGTTATATAGGGGGTTTCATTGTGACATTTCCATGTATATGTACATTGTACCCCGGTTTGGTTATCCCCTCCGCGATTCTCCCTCTCCCCCGACTCCCCTTCTTGAAATGACTTAAACAGGTTTCAAGGCTCCACATTCAGACATGTAGAGAAAGCACCTCTAGTACACGCACAGAGACCTCTGCCTTGTCTCTCCTTCCCCATCTAATGTGTACGCTTGTGAGAATGTCCGGCTTTTAAATCATCCTGGCCTGCTAAAGGCGCTCTAATCTGATCTTCCTCTAGTTCCTTCAAGTCAGTTCCACTCATTAGAAAGGCTCCCTTACAACAGGTCTCCTACCTGCAAAGCCAGGTATATAGCCATGCATTCTTGAATGAGAACTCACACAGGTTAATTACTTTCTGTCACACTGATGACTTTCAGCTACTTGGAAAAGACAAGGACCTGCTTGGGAATTAAGACACTGGTGTTCTCTAACAAGGACAGCACTGAAAAGTAAATGATGACAACAAAACCCTACGTTTGAACAGGCTGCACTTTAACGTGTATTTCTGCACAAAAACTACATAAGAAGAGTTGGCATTCTTTCTGGCTATTCAACAGAAGCCCACTGAATTTCTGGGAGCTGAGCCTTACCATGAGAGTACAATGACCCTGGTGATAGGTCTTGGGAGTAGGTGCTCTTGTTACCCAGGCAGGTGGAGAAGGAGAAAGGAAACATCTTCTCTGTTCCTGGTTGGAAGGTTGGACCTGGGCCAATGTTTTAAAAGGAAAAGTTTAAAAGGGCGTGATTGAAGTGATAGAGCGCTTGCCTAGAAAGTGCCAGGCCTTGCGTTAAATCCTCAACACCACTACTACTACTTATAATAATAATCATACAATTTATAATAAAAGGCAAAGTGCATCTCTGGTGTCACCCAAGCTTCTCTGCAGCTTTCCAGGCCTCTGCCCCTGCTCCTACTGTAGCATCTCCATAACGTCTCCTAGGCCATTTCTCGAACTTTTATTTTCTCAGATGTTCTTTTGTGCCCAATCAAAAGGTAATTCTTATTAAATTAGGACTATCTAGTTGGTATACTTCTAGGGACTGCAGCATAAAAGGAAAAAAATGTGACTAGATGCGTTCTATGGATGGGAGGAACGAGGGGGGGTCACAGTTACTTTGGGGGGCAGGAGAGTCACTATTGGGCAAGCCAGCAGAACCCTGCCTTTATCCCTCTGTGGGTTGTTGAGCTTTCTGGATTGTGGATTGCTGATTTTTATCAAATTTAGAAAAATTACAGTTAATAATATTTTCTCCCAATCTGTGTCCCTCCCTCCCACCATCTCCTCTCTCCCTTTGTTCACACGGCTTATAAATGGGGAGCTGGGATGATAACGACAGTTTAACTTCCGTACCGAACTATGCATCAGTGTGTTATGCTTTTTAAACTTGCTCATCTAACTATCAACCTAACCTCCAAAATGCAGTATTATTTCTTCATTTTTGTAGCACTAAGTCAGTGAGCAGTATTTGATGGACTGAACAGAAGTTTAATTACAGAGAATAGTGGAGGCTCTAATTGTGTCAGCAGGCTTAAGCCTGGCTCCCTTCTGATCATTCCTGCTGTGGAAATCACCTTCCAGAACCAGCTGAGGACCTACTGTGAGCGGGTCTCTGGGATCATCAATGCAGAGGGCATGGAGGGAAGTG